AACTGACACTGACAACCAAATAACATGTACATAATTTTAAAACAAATTCCTAATAATTAATTATTTGGTTTCTCTGATGATGGTGTAATAAACCGAAACGTAAGAAAAAAATTTAATTAGTTATACCTGACCGAATCCCCACAAAAAGAAAACTATCTAATATTAATTGATACTTAACGGTCAAGAAAAGAAAAAATATATATATCCCAAAAAAAAAAAAAAAAAAAAAGAATAAAAAAAAAAAAAAAAAAAAAAAAAAAAAAAAAAAAAAAAGGGGGGGGGGAAAGGGGAAAAAAGGGGGAAAAAAAAAAAAAAAAAAAAAAATTAAAATTTTAAAAAAAAAAAAAAAAAAAAAAAAAAAAAAAAAAAAAAAAAAAAAAAAAAAAAAAAAAAAAAAAAAAAAAAAAAAAAATTAAAAAAGAAGAAAAACCTTAACACCTATGGAAGAAGATAACATAATAGATATATGTTTTAACATCATCGTGTCTATGAAGATATTATGAAGTTATAGTTCATGAGAGTAATTGATTATACTGATAGTGATATATTATGTATGTACCTACATTTACGAAAAATTATATAAAAAATTATATGATATCTACCCTATCATTTTTTAGAATATGTTTTATTATAAACAACTCGTGAAGCATACATGTTTTTAATACAAAATACATTTTAATTTCGCAAATATATACCTACCATAATGTTACTTTAATGACAAAACATCGAATGTGCAAATTTGCCGGTTTCGACTTTTCTGTTGGAAAATAATATATTTTTTTCAGTCTGCAGTGCCAAAACCGCAAATGCGAATATTGAATATTTTTTTAATATTTTTATACTAGGAAACTTATACCTATAAATAAATTACCTTTGGATATTTAACAACAAATTGAACTTTATTTCCCTTCTTCTGAAAAATTAGAAAAATGCACATTCGTTGTTTTGGCAGTGGACCGACGATATGCTTTACAACTTGTGAAAAAAATAAAAAAAATATCTACTATAATTTTTAGCAAAATTGATTTTTTAATACATCGTACTGTAGACAAATCGTGAGGCATACATTTTTTAATATAAATCAAATTTTAGTTTCGCAAATATAAACCAGGTGAGTAAAAATTTTTGTATATATTTTTTTGAATAGAAATGTTTTTAATTTTCTATATTCATTTATTTGTTGTATCCGTATAATTTGTCTTCGAACCTTCTTTGTGTATTAAGTCGCTATTCTATATAAATTGTTTATGTATTTTTTTAAATAAACCATGCGTAGCAAAAGGATTGTTCAGATTGTTTTTTTCTCCAAAAAACCAACCTATGCCTAACCCTTTTGGCGCAGAGATTTATTTAACAAATTCTTTAAATAATTTATAAGATGGTGGATACCCAAAGCAGGTGCGAGGAGAAATATTTTTTTATTATAAATAAATTAAACAGCGTTATTAACAAAAATTAATAATTTATTTAATATTAATGAATATACGAAATTTTCATTGTTTTTGAGAAATAAATATTTGTTCACTATAAATAAATTAAAAACGGAATTAATTTTCCTGAAATTAATGTATTCATCAACAATAAATCCAAGCAATTTTCTGTAAAAAAGTCTTATTCCTGAGAAATAAATATTTAATGCTCAGAAACAAATATTTAATGTTCAGAAACAAATGTTTAATGTTCACAAATAAATATTTAATGTTCAGAAACAAATATTTCTTACAAATAAGTATTTTGATTTAATTGATAATACTAAATATTCGGCTTTTAATCAAATAAATGCCTTAACTCTCCCAATTAAATGTTTAGTTCGTCAAATACAAAGAAATCATTTATTTGGTTGAAATAAAATTTGTTTCTCCAAACTAAATCATTCTCTCAGTGTACTGCTCTAATGTTCCAATGGAGTTTAAAAACGTGCCCTGGCCTGACCTATAAATGTTGCACTCAATGCGCACTAGTTTTATCAATGGAAATCGCTATAAGTCTTATATTTTATTTCATATAGGCAACTTGACACCGTTTTTTAAACACCTGTTACTTCAATATCCTCCGCCATTTTGAAATTGGAAAAGGAAAACCTGTCATTCTTACCAAAAAGAGCTTATTGTTTTTATTTCAGATCCAGATTCCTTAAAATCAGTTAAGAGTTAAAAACTTATATGAAATTAACTAAAAAAATCATGTTTTCTCATGTCCCACGTAAATAAAATATTGTTTACTGTTTTAAAAATTAAAGCAACTGAAAAAAAAGTTAATTAAATTGAAATATGATCTGTTTAATATTCGCCATTGAGCAAAGCTTCATCGCCTGTACTGTAATGGGTCCACAAATATTTAAAAGTCTTTGACATGCTGATTGTATATTTGAAAAAGACGAACGGTGGAAATCATCATAAAGAATATTTCAGCAATTCAATAGGCGTTCTGAGAAAACTGTAAATAATGAGGTTTTTACGGTCTCTGTTTAAAAGTACTTTTTAACGGGAGGTTAATCTTAGTTCTAGCCCAGTAAAATGATATAAAGGTTCGGTAAAGTCTTTACCGATTTCTTATATGTCACTTTTAGTTGACCACAGTAATTGATAACCATTGAAAATTATTAAGTCAGTCCCCTTTCAAAGTAATCATCTGTCAGTTGAATTTTATGTTTGCAAAAGATTTCAAATTAAAAAAAAATTGAGACTAGCAAGACCGGTTGTAGAAAAAATATTGTACGCAACATAGCCGGAAAGTGTCATTACTGGGCTCACAAGTTCGCTCAGTAAAGAATTACTTTCCAGTCTTGTTACATAAATAACTACCAAGGCCCGCTTAGAGGCGGACAACCCGGAGCCCTATCCGGGGCGGCGAACCTGAGGGCAAATATGATAAATTTATTATTTATTATTATTCTCAATTAATATAAATTTTACACTACTAAAATTCCAGTGCCACGGCCGGGAATCGAACCAATTCCAATTTCCAATTTAAAACATTTATTGCATATTAAAATACATCACAAAAAACTTAATTAGAATGCCACACTTGGCATTGTACAAACAAATATAATTCATAAGTAACAATACAAGTGTGAAAATAGCCAATCGGCTGTACATAATACTCGCCCGGAATAAATTCCGGGCGAAAAGCAACATTTTAGTTTTCCTCCGGCGTCGGAGGGAGCCTAATCCGCTGGCCAGGTGTTTGGGCCCGATATGGCTAAGGTGCATTCTTTTTGTTGTTCTGCGTAGCCAGACGCTTTCCTAGAACAGCGTGAAAAACATAATTAGTACTTGCACAAGGCATGGTAAAAATTAAAGAGCAAAATAAATAATACAGAAATCGTTATGGTAATAGTCATGAGGGAAAAAGCTAAAGAAAAAAACCTGCTTAAAAGAATTGAAATTTAGATTGTCTGTAAAAGTAGGGTGAAAAGGTGATAGGGCGGTCATCGAGGGAAGTTACGGTTAGGGGTGGGTATAATGTATATGAGGAAAAGGTAGAGAAATAGGGATGTCTGTCATTGTGTGTCTAAAAGCAAGGTTATTCAAGAAATAATGGTAAATTTTCGTGTATTAGTCTGTGTGTAGTATGTCTAAAATCGTGGTAGTTTCTAATGTCAGTGATGTGCGCGGTGAGTGTGGATTTCTGTATGTTATGTCTAAAAAATTTGGTGGCCGTCTGTGTTATGTAATCTTTAATGTACGGTATGTTGGCTGTCTCGTGCAGTTGTTGTGTACTTATGTATCGATTTGAGTTAGTGAGGAGGCGGAGTAACTTATTCTGCGTCGTCTGGAGGCGGCCGAACTGTGTGTTCGACATCCTGTTCCAGACGACGCAACCATAGGTTAATATGGGTCTGATAACGGCTTTATAAATAAGCAATTTGTTGCTGGTGTCCAGGAGAGATCTCCTGTTCACCAGCGGATAGAGTTTATGCAGGGCCATGTAGGCCCTGTTTAGCGTTTTAGTTATGTGGGGTTTAAAAGAAAGCCTCTGGTCTATGTGAACCCACAGGTATTTAACCACCTTGGCCTCCTCAATAACTCTGTTATTTATAGTCAATGGAGTAAAAGTTTTGATGTTTGTAAATTTTTTAGTGAAATTTATTGTCTCAGTTTTTGTCTCGTTGATTACGATTTTCCAGTCCTTATAATATTTTAAAATATTAGTTAAATGGTACCGCAACTTAGTAGTCGCGGTTTGGGCATAAAAGAACTGGGCGTAAATCGTAGTGTCGTCAGCGTACGTTATTGTCTGTGTTAAGGGATGTGTAGGAATATCGGAAACATACAGGTTAAACAAAACCGGAGAGAGCACCGTCCCCTGCGGGACCCCCGCTCTGACATGGTGAAAATCAGATATAGAATTGTTTATCTTGACCGCAAAAGTGCGGTCAACAAGATATGATTTAATCAGAGAAACAAAGTATATCGGTAATTTATGTTTATGCGTGAGTTTGTGCAGGAGGCCTCCATGCCAAACAGTATCGAATGCCTTCTGGATGTCCAGGAGCAGCATTTTTGTGCAATGTTGTTTATTGTAACCTTCGATCACGTCGTGCACAACTCTGCACAACGACAGCGTGGTATTGTGACCTCCTCTGAAGCCAAATTGTATGTTTGGCAGCAAGTTACCTTTATTAATAATTTTATTTAGATTGGCTAAATATACCTTTTCGGCAATTTTACCGAGCGTATTTAATAAAGAAATAGGCCGGTAACTTGCTGCGAGGACGGGGTCCTTACCTGGCTTCAGGAAGGGCACAATTATGGATGTTTTCCACGCTGTGGGAAAGTATTGTAGTCGTATCGACGCGTTTATTATGTAGGATATTTGTACGAGAGTTTTGCGTGGTACTTTTTTATAAATAATATTAGGGATTGTGTCGGGACCTGGGGCTTTTAAGTTGGGAAATGTTTTAAGTATGGATTTTAGTGTGCTAGGAGATGTAAGGAGCTTGGCTAGTTTACGTGGAGAGATGGGTGTGTATGCTGGGATATGTGCTATACTAGCATCGACGCCCACGGGAATCGAACCCGGGACCCCTAGGTTTCTAGGCAAGTACATTACCTCTAGACCACTGAGCCATAATAGATAAATAGTTTGATTGCCATGCAAAAAAACTTTCATTAATTTCTTTTTCGAAATTAGTAGATATGATTTGGTTATCATAATTGTAATTATATATCTATAGATTTCAATAGTACTTTGACAATAAATGTTAAAGTCATGTTGAACACCCTCAAAAACGTAGGTGGTGATAAAGTTTTACAAATAAAATTTTTTGCAATTGGCAGTTTGACAGTTGGCAGCTGCCAAAAAAGACAATTTTGATGTCAAAGTCATATTTAGCATCCTCAAGAACTTAGGTAGTGTTATGGAAGAAGTTTTTCTTACAAATTGCGGAATTTTACAATTTGCAGTTTGACAGTTGAAAGCTGCCAAAAAGGCTATTTTGATGTCAAAATCGTGTTTAGTACACATGGAAACGTAGATTACAATGATTTAGACAAAAAAATTGTCTAACAAAATTGTAATTTTTTTGTTTTAAAAAAAGGCAATTTTTACGCTATCTGTAGCTAAAAATGTCCTGTCGTGCAGCAGACAGCTACCCGCTGAATCCAACTACGAAGGTTCGAAAAAACGATATTAAATAAATGAATGTTTCACAAACAACACGAGGTTTATTCAAAACCAAAAACAAAACAGCTGGTTACATTCAAAATTGCCAAAAAACCCGCTGTCAACATAACCACAGAACTAAGAATTATAATTAGGGCATTTTTCAAGAGTATAGCGATGTTACCAGACTGCAGAATTTCCCTAAATAACAAATACCTACAAAATACAAATCTGTGGTTATCTCGACATCCTCCCACCTGAGTAACATTTTGCTATAGCAAAAGGGGACTCACTAAAATAAAATATTAAGTACATACATAACAAATAAAATGAGATACAAATATAAAATAGACATGTCAAGTTTATAAAAATCGCCGGCATACGCGACACTCGACCACTACGCGTAATATTAGCGGGTACTCTGCTTTTAAAATTTACACCCGCACTTTCACCATCACTGACGTGCTGATCGCTGAAGTCATCATCAGGAGTCTCCTTCACTTGAATCTTATCCATATCAGGATGTTTGTCGTCATTCTTCGGATTTCCATTCAATACATCCAAGCATTCTAAAGGGTAAAGGCGTTGTATAGGTCGTAACATTTGCCCTCTAGCAGTTTGTAGTCTAACTAATCTAGTTTTACCATCTTTGCCAGGTAAGAGTTCTACGACTCGACCAAGAGGCCAGTCTAAACGTCTCCCATTGTCATCTCCAACAAGATATGGCAGTTCTGCAAACCAATCTCGAAAAGTACGGTCAGTTTCCATATCCACAGGCTCATCCCAAGTCAATTTTTCCTCCCAAAGATATTGCAATAACAACTTAGGCATTAAGGTCGCTGGGCAAGTGAAGCCAATTGGACCATATATGCGCTGAGCCATTGAAAGGATCACTCTCTTAGTCACATAATTAAAGTTACCATCATTCTTAAAACAATCGCCATTTATTTTTAAAGTATCTCTATCTGGATGCCATAAAAGACCAAGAACGGGTGTAACCGCAGCTTCAGAACCAGTATTCTGCGTATACTCCCACCCTCTAAGGTCAAATTTGCCTTCTCTCATTACAGCTTTCGTTCTTGCATAAAGTGCTGCAAACTGGCCTTATTATGAACACTTGATACACAGTTGTCCACGTAGAATCCTTTTGTTAATTTAACAACAGTGTCACGTGCATATGAGGTATCAGTTTTCTCGCATTTCTCTAGGCACGGGAAAGGTGGTATTCTATGGTTGCCCCCAAAAGAAATGGGCTACAGTTTACTCCAAACACTACACGTCTATGACGGTATATTTTTTCTTCATCATCAGGCCCAATCCACAAAAATCTAAGAAAATCCCTGTCGTCAGGATGAACACTGATTTGAAGAAAGGCCTTCCGTATGTCTGCAACAACACCAATCTGATTTTCTCTGAATCTCAACAAAATTGAAGGAATTTGTTCGATTAAGTTCAACCCTTTCTCCAAACAATGATTCAGCGAGGGCTTTCCCTTTTCATGCGAGATGCATCGAAAACAGGACGTATTTTTGTAGTAGAATAGGTATTTTCCTTTTATCACAGGTCTATGAGGCAGGAAATGACCTAAAATAGTTGAATCTTTCTCATTAACCTCCTCAATCACACCCTCCGATAACCACTCCTGAAATACCTGGTCATATGATTCAACAAGATTACCATTTTTAAGTTTACTTATAGCAGTGAGTAACCTTTTCTTAGCGACACCATAATTGTAGGCAATGGGGGATGACCTTCAACCCAAGGCAATCTTACCTCATATCGGCCCTCCTGATTCATTTTCACCGTTTGTAGAAAGAATTCCTTAGCATCGTTTTCTAATTCGTGACGTGTTCTTTTTTCTGAGGGCTCTGTGATGCCCAAAATATCGAGCCTCCACAAATCAGTGATTGACGCATCTTTTACTAACGAGGATAATGTTATTAGAGCCAAATTAGAATTTACCTTGATCTCATCATCCTGTATTTTGCCCATAAGAGTCCAACCTAAGTGTGTCTCGACAGTCACCAGTCCACACTGTAAAACATGACGCCCTCCAGTGAACAGTTTTCCAGCTACATCTGCCCCTATTAGTAGTTCAATTGGATCTGATCCGTTTGTATCTGAAATATCAATATGCAAATGCTGCAACTCTTTAGACCAAGGTCCATAGAATATCGGTAGAACATCACTGCAAATGGCTGGTTGATCCAGGGCCTCAAACATAAAAACATAGTCACCTTTATAAACAGTAACATCATAACAATTATGGGTATTATTCATCTCGGTGCCACCAAATAGACAATGGACAATTTTCTCTTTCCGTTTGGGTATATATCCTAATTGCATTGCTGTGGACTTCAATATATAAGATCGTTGTGAACCGCTATCTATTAAAGCTCGCACAATCCGTGACCCGTTTTTATTTCGCAATTCAATCCTCAAAGTCTGCAAAAAAACATGAGTGTTCGTATGGTTTGCGAGCGCCTGGTCTTTAGTAGTTAAGGATTTAGAGTCTTTGGCACAACGGTCCTCACTGTTTTCATTAAATTGTTTGTCAAGGAGCTGCTTATTTGACGGTAATTCAGGACATATTAACGGCACATGTGATCGCGAGCAAATTACACACCGTAACCGGGCACGACATCTTCTAGAAGAATGCCCAGGTATCAGGCAACGAAAACAAGCGCGTTTATCCGTCAAAAGTCTTTTCTTTTCATGAAAACTAAAATTTCGTGCTTTGAAACAAGAGTCACTCTTGTGTGAGCCACGCAAAAAATGCAACTAACAACGTCACAGTTAACTAAACCCATAGCAGTAGGTACCGCTCCTAAAGTTTTGCATTTTCTTTTCTCACTTTTTGTATCAAATTCTTTTGAGTTTACTTGAGTAGCAGACAGGCCAAAACTTTCTGCAGCTAGCAAAATACGTTGTTCGTTCTGAACTTCATTTTTAAGAAATTGCATTAGACTTTCAAGACGGTCTTCTAAAGATACCTCTGTCAAATTTGTTTTACTTACACTGATTGACTGAGCTGAACGTTGCCACACACGCAACAATTCGGGCGGTAAACAAGACTCTATGAGAGGAAATAGCATCGCAGAACATTTATCTGTAGTTATGCCCAACGTTTCCAGAGCTCTGATTTGTGTTTCTATTTTATCGTACAACATGCACAAATCCATTTTTTGTTGTGAACTGGCATTACTTAATATCAATTTGAGAAGTTCTCTGACGTACACCTCAATCTGCAAATCCTCCCTCCCAAATCGGGAATGCATACTTTCGATAATTTTATCATAATTACCTGCGATAGTAGGAAAACTTTCAACTAGCTGCCTGGCTCTGCTGTTTGGCACAGTTGACTGTATCAAATATTCAATTTTATCGCATTCATCAATATCTGAATCTTCATGTATTTTCTTTGAATTGGCCCCAAAATGGAACCAGTCTTTGATATTTCCATCATAGGATTTAAATTCTATTTTAGGAAGCTTAAATTTACGCCTACCTGTATTTTCGTTGATAATCGAGCCTGACATAACTGTACTTTGTCTATCACCTGCCTTATTAGCCACCACATTCTCAACATTTATAAGCTTCAAGCTTAATCGTAAACTATAAATTTTCGACTGTAAGTATCGCAGGATTCGACTTCAACAACAGTTCCTGTTCATACTTGCTAAAAGATTTCATATAATTCCGAATCTAACACTTTTAAGCAGTCATATTTTGGGTGCAAAAGTTCCCATGAAACTTGAATATTATGCACATGAGGTGCACTGATAAAGTCTCAAGATTTGGAGCGTAAGACTCCTAGTAACCCTGCTCCGTTTTTTTTTATCCAATAATTCTGCCATCTTGCAAACTCGGTTCTAAACCGCAGACGTTTTCAAAACAATAACAATCGAAAACTTGTGAAAACGCCGCAAAGTTGTAGGATAAAAACACTATGTTCAGACTGTCCTCTTGTACGGGTACACCAGCAAACCTGCCCATTTATTAAAGAAGCACTGAGAATAACCTCACTATGTCCATAAAACACTCGTCCTGTCACGGTCGCCAGAAATGTCGTCAGCAGACAGCTACCCGCTGAATCCAACTACGAAGGTTCGAAAAAACGATATTAAATAAATGAATGTTTCACAAACAACACGAGGTTTATTCAAACCAAAAACGAAACAGCTGGTTACATTCAAAATTGCCAAAAACCCGCGTCAACATAACCACAGAACTAAGAATTATAATTAGGCATTTTTCAAGAGTATAGGATGTTACCAGACTGCAGAATTTCCCTAAATAACAATACCTACAAAATACAAACTGTGGTTATCTCGACAGTCCCGTAGCTAAAAATTGACGCAATAACCGTAATTCTTATGGTCAGATTCGGTTTCAGCACCTCAAAATACATAAGGACGCATCGTTTCGATTTAAAGTACAGAATTTTTTTTTTGTGTGCATGTAT